TTTACATGTATGGATAATATTTAAATATTCAAATTGACTTACTTACTTAATAAATAAATTATTAACATTAATATAATTAGATTGAATCTATAAAATACTAACTAAAACTTAAAACTACTGAATAATAATTATTATTAAATTAAATTATATATTAACCTGATTAATAATTAAAATAAATTTGTATTTAAGTCAGTCTTAGCCGCTCTGAATAGGCTGGCCAACTGTCCACTATTTGAGTGGACAGTCCACTATTTTGGGTTTTTGTCCACTAAGAATTGAGACCAAATAGTGGACATTAAATTACCCAATATTCGATTTTAAGAAATTTAAAATAATTTTAATAAAAACAACAAAAATGATTATTAAATAGGGTTATTTTCTTATTAAAAATGAAATAATTTATTATTAGCAGGTACTAATAATGTTCATATATTAGTGTACATAATGAAATACATCGTTATTTACAAGAGTGCTTAAACTTACAGTTATACATTACGCATTACCATAGGATTTACACATATGTGTAAATTTTAAGCACTCATGGTTATTTATAAATAAATATATTTATCAATTAGTTTCGAAGCTAAAATTGACCTAAAATAGAGCCAAAAATATGTCCACTATATGTCCACTATTTTACCATATTTTCGAGCAAAATATAGCAATTGTCCACTATTGAAAATTTTTGAGTTGGCCAGCCTAGCTCTGAAGGAGTTTGTGGCGATGGTTGGGATTTGTTTCACGACGATTACTATGACATATGTTATCAATATCATGCAGGTGTGGCTGAATATCACGATATAGTAAAATTCTGCAAATCAATCCAGGAATCATCCCTGCCAACCATTAATTCAAAAGCTGAGCAAGATTTTCTGACCAACATGATTGTAAAATACAAGATGGTAGACGGAATATGGCTCGACGCCAGCATTAAAAATAAACACATCGTATGGACGGACAAAAGTAGTGATGAATATGAGAACTGGATGTCCGGCCGACCCATCAATGAAAGCAATTGTGTGGAAATGTTGGCCGACGAGGCTAATCGTGGTAAATGGGCAGATGAACCATGCACAAAGATGAATGGGTACATTTGTAAACGTGTGGTCATGTGGTCGGATCAAGAAATGGAAAGATTTATCAGGGACAGTCGCCGACTATCAGAATCAGGATAAAGATCAGGCTCAAATCGCTCAATTGGAAAAGAATCAAATGCCTATTGGCTTTATATACGTACAACTGGCCTCGCAGGCTGAGCCTAAAACACTATGGCCGGCATACATGTGGTTAGATGTGACGGCTACATACGCGGGTCAATTTTTCCGGGCCGAAGGGGGAGGTAGTTTAGCGTTTGGTAAGGGTATTCAGGCAGAAAATACACCTAGATTCACATCAAAACAAAGGAAAGATGGTGGTGATACATTTGAGTACTCGTTGGACATGAAACCTGGTGTGTGGACCGATTGGATTTATTCGGGAACAGCAATAAGTGGTGGTACTGGCATTTTTAATCGCTATTTGGTTTCCAGCGGTGAAGTGCGACCCTTAAACCAAGCAATTCGTATATTTAAACGTATCAAATAGTTAACTAGTAACTGAAACTATATATTTATAAATATTTACATTATTCATAATTATTGCTAACTCAACGTATTTTTCAGTTATATATTTATAAAAGATTTTTTGTTAAATTGATAATCACAAATTATAAAATATTTATTACGGTATTAATAAAGCATGAAATAAGTAATTAATAAAAAATATTTTAATCTTCATCAATATACTACTAGTATATATTAATTTACGGAAAGGTTTATTTATATTTATTAATATAAATAGAATATTAAAACAATTTAAAGCCTTGATAAAAGAATCATGATGCAATAAAAAATATGCTAGTTTAAAATATATTAATTTTCAGCATATGTTTATCATTGTATTATATACACTTTAGTTATATATTTTATTATCGACGTTTTATTATTCAATTAATTATTTGTATTACACAATTATTCTTTAATTGTATAAATAGTTATCTAAATTATTCATTAGATTAATAAACGTGAGAAAAATTTTCATGGGAATAAGCGGTTTCTTTTAATGCAATTGTTTTTATAATTTAATCTATTCTAGTATAAACTCTAATAATAAATTATAAATATCTTGTAATTATAATAATAGGACAACAATAATTATTTATGTAGATTATCATGGTATCAAACCTTTGTTTAATGATTTGTATATAAAAATTTAGATTTAAAATTAGTATAAATTGAGCAAATATTTTATTCTAAAATAAATGCAATACAGTCTTATAAAATTTTATTAATAATGTATATGCTACATTTTTTGATAGTCGTTATATGCTTTTCAGGTATATTTAATACTAATGCAAATAATATAAAATACATAAATATAAATTATCTAAATTCATTTTTAAATAATATTTTTGTAATTGAATTGTTTTATTATACATACTTAATAATAAATATTTGACATTAAAAAAATTATACTATTGTATTAAATGTTTGTTGTATATATTTAGCCAAACCTGGCAGCGCTGAAGGCGTATGCGGTGATGGTTGGGACATATTTCACGACGAGTATTACGATATATGCTATGTTTATTGGTCAAGTCTGAATACATATCAAAAGGGGATAGAAAGATGCAATAATTACCAAGGTTCATCAATGGCAACAATTAATTCAAAGGCCGAGCAAGATTTCCTGACCAACATGATGGTTAAATATAAAATGGTAGAGAATGTATGGCTCGACGCCGGCATTAAAAACAAACACATCGTATGGACGGACAGAAGTAGTAGTGAATACGGGAATTGGATGACCGGCCGACCCGTTAACGATAGTAACTGTGCGGAAATGTTGGCCGACGAGGTTAATCGCGGTAAATGGCAAGATGAACCATGCTCAAAAAGTAATGCCATTATATGTAAGCGTGTGATTACGTGGTCTGAACAAGAAACCGATCGATTGATCAGGGACAGTCGGCGGCTGATTGATGAAACTGTCAACAAAATTGCCAGCTTAGAAAAAAGTTTAGCCACGAGCCAAGCTGAACTCACCAATTTAAAACAAAATCAGGTGCCAGTTGGCTTTATATATGTACAGTTACCCAACCAGGCTCATCCCAAAACACTATGGCCCGCAAACACGTGGTCAGATATAACGGCCCAATACGCGGGTCAGTTTTTCCGGGCCGAAGGTGGCGGTAGTCTAGCTTTTGGCAAAGGTGTTCAGAAAAACAATTCACCTAGATTGGTAAATGTAACATTTAGTGAAGCAAATGATCCCGGAGTAGTGAATCATATAGGTATAACGCCCGGGCAGTGGAGCTCAAAAATTATATCGGGAGGATATGATGGTCATCCTGTAAACACCCAATATTTAGTAAGTAAGGTAGAAGTGAGACCTACCAATCAAGCCATGCGCATATTTAAACGCACGAACTAGATTAATTATAAATTAAAATATAAGTTAATTGCAATAATTTTATGTAATGATAAATTAATGCTTATATATTAACAAACAAATAATAAATAAAGTTTTAATGTAAACATAATAATGATGGCAATAATATTAAATGTATTAAATGTTAAATTCTGTAAATATGCGTTAAAATTCATTTTAAACAAACCGATTAGCCCAAAATGTTGACCAAAGACTAATTCAACTTAATAAAATTATCAGTATGAAAACCTGACATAAGAGGGTTTGAAATGCGCTACTGGAATCAGGAACATTAATATATAAATTAATCCTTATAAAAAATATTTTGTATGTCATTTTGTTATATTCAATTATCATTACGTTTATTATAGAATATTTAGCGTATATAAAATCTAGACAAAATTATAGATTATTTAAATGTCAATCAAGTTGCAAATTAATCTAACTGTCATGATATAGCTATTGTCACTCAAAATTACGTTAATTATACAATTTTTATCATAAATAAAATTTGGATAAAATTCTAGATGATGTCAATGTCAGTCAAACAAATTTGTAAGTTAATCTATTGGGTCGTTCAAGAAGTAATAATAGTCGAGCAGTAAAAATTTAAAATTATTTTTTAATTATGAAGCGACTTATTATTTTAGATTATGTAATAGCAGTTTTTATCGGCAACTATTGGCCATCAATCGGATAAAGTTTCATTTACTTCCCGAAAAAAATTGCTGTTTTGTAAGGCAAAAAAGTGAGTGAAGTCAATTTCTACCACTACTTTTGTATTGCAATTTCTACTACTAAAACATGACTGAAGAGAATGATTTTAATAGCCATCTTATAGTGGAATAACAGGAGAATATTGTGACTAAGAGAGATTTTGTCCGCCAAAGCCTTAGAACTTTTTTATGCAATTTCCGGAAAAATGTGGTCTAAAAATAGGCCTAAATTAGGCATATTTTAGGTATGCATGTAATTTCATGCTCTGAACAAATGCCCACTAGGGTTTAAATGGTCACAAATTATTTCCCAGTATAAGCATAAGTTGGTCAACAATTCCATGTGGGAAAATCACTGATCAGACACAACCCGAATTTTTGGCACGCAATTGTTTACTTCCCGATGTCGGGCCGTTCGGGTGCGATCTTTAAGGTTATAATCACCTGATTTAGAACTTTTGAGCAATTCATGTCATTGGTTGATATCCAATACATCGTCGAAAATTTATATATTGTAATTGTGTGTCTATTTATTAGTACTTTTAACTTAAATTAAAATAGGTCATCTTTTATAATGTTCTCGGTACTTTTACTTTTGGGTGAAATCACCACTTTTTGAAATAATTTTGGAACATTTTTTACATAATATTAAAGAGGAATAATAAATGTACAAAATAGTGTTTAAATCAATATAATGGCATATACCAAAAAACTTTGCCAGCCCTTCAAACCTAAAGTAATTCTAAATTATTATTACATAATGAACACCCCAATATCTGTCATTATAAAATAACATGGTTTAAAATTTACATATTTATGACAGTTTGACATTGTGATAATAAATTTGTTTTCATTGAATAAGTAGTTGTGATATATTTATATTTTTGCTAATTATTTAGCAGATTGCAATTTCTCTGTCCCAACATAAATATTTAATTTATCAATTATTAATTCTAAAAATATATTATTATTTAAATAATTGATTAATTTATGTAACACATACATTTATATTAAATTTTGATGTGCAAAATATGTAACCATAATAATACAAAGATTATTTCAAGTGAAATATTGACAACTTTATAAAGTTATGAATAATATTGATTATATCAGCTATATAAAATTTATAATAATCTACGTGGAATATATATATAAATTAAAATAGACATTTAATCAAGATAATGTCAATCTTAATTATTTTAGTCGTAAACAATTGGTCATAATTATAATTTATCTTAATAATCTGTTTAATTTTTTTGATAAATATTTCTTAAATATAATTCACATTTTGTGTATTATCTAGGCAATATAATAAATCATCATAGCTTAAAATTTACATGTTTATATCGTTCTGACATGACGATAAAAATTTAGTATAAATTGAACAATTAATTGATGATAGAATAAGTGTTCTATATTTTCATAAATTAAAATTTTATAAATATTGATAATGTATATGTTGCATTTGTTGGTACTTGTTATATGCTTTTATGGTATGCTTAATAATATTAATGTAAATAATATAAAAATTCATTAGTTTAATTTATCTAAATTCAATTTTAAACAAAAATTTCTTAACTTACTTAATTTATTTAAAATATAAATATTATAAACTATTATTATTAAATTATATTTTGTAAACTATTAGCCAAACAAATTTACTCTAATGGTGTATGTGGCGATGGTTGGGACGTATTTCATGACGATTATTACGATATATGCTATAAATATATAGCCGACAGTATGGGTGACTACCAGACAGTAGTCACGGCCTGCAGGGGAGAACTAGACTCAACTCTACCCACTATTAACTCACAGACAGAACAAGATTTTCTCAATCAAATGATTGTCAAATACAAGATCATTGAAAATGTATGGCTCGACGCCGGCATCAAAAACAAACACATTGTTTGGGCAGACAGTAGTAGTGGTGAATACGAGAACTGGAGGTCTGGTTCCCCGGTTAACAATAGCAACTGTGTGGAAATGGTACCCGACCAAGGTAATGTGGGCAAATGGCAAGATGTACCATGTGCCAAGAAAAATTCTTATGTTTGTAAGCGTGTGGTGATGTGGTCGGGTCAGCGTACGGAGCGTTTGATTAGGGACAATCGGCGTTTATTGGAAGGAGCATTAAACATAATTACCATTCTTACACATAATCAAGACAAACATGAAACTGAAATTACCATGTTAAAACAAAGTCAAGTGCCTATTGGTTTTATATACGTACAATTACCCGGTCAGATTGACCCCAAAACACTATGGCCTGAGTACACGTGGTCAGACTCGACCAGTCCATACGCGGGCCAATTTTTCCGGGCTGAAGGCAACGGTAGTTTAGAGTTTGGTAAAGGTGTTCAAAATGAGAATGCACCTAGATTGTCGGCCGTTGAGCAGATGGATAATGCTGATTACGGTGCACATATTGACGTGACTCCCGGTACATGGAGTAAATATATTTGGTCGGGTTACAATCCAGAAAACAAGCACACGTATTCTCACAGATTTTATGAAACTGGTGGAGAAATTCGCACTCGTAATCAGGCGGTGCGCTTATTTAAACGTTTGAAGTGATTATAGTACAGCTTTCTATTTGGTTATTATAATATATTTATAATAATAAATTTACAGATTATTTATTAGTATAAAACCGTTTAACCTTTGTAATAATTAATTCTTGTTTTTACAATACATGTACTTATATTTATACATAACTATTAAATCAAAATAATAACGAATGTTACATATGTATTTGCTTTAATTTCATGTCTTATATGTAAGTAAATATAATTAATGATAATTAAATAAAATAAAATTACTACTACATAATTTAATTAATAAAAATTAAAAATATACAATCCTAATAAAATTTAATAAATAACAAAACTTATTTATTTTAAAAAATAATATATATTATTTAAGCAAGCTAAGTTGTTTTGTTGGTGACCTAACCCTGGATGATGTAATTACTAAAATGACTAAACTGGAACAAAAACTGGCCCAACATCAATCAAAAATATCAATCGGTTTTATATACGTACAATTACCAGACCAGGTTGAGCCCACTAGTTTATGGCCAACATACACATGGTCAGATGTTACTGCAAATTACGCTGGCGACTTTTTCCGGGCCGAAGGGAAGGGTAGCCTAGCGTTTGGTACGGGTGCTCAGGCACAAAGTGGGCCCAGACTGTCGGCCGTATACAGCAATCATAACGTAAGCATGAATTTTAATATCAATATTACGGCTGGAGTTTGGAGTGACTATATCTATACGGGCGGCGATAGTAAGACGGGTAATGTTAATTCATTAAGGTTTTTTGAAGTGCTCGATGAAGTGCGCCCACGTAATCAGGCGGTGCGCATATTTAAATGAATCATGTAGATTATGTGTATAATGTTTATTGGTTTAATTAATAAGGTTTTGTTGTTTATTGTTGAACTAAACTAATTAGCTAAGTAATAGATATTTAAATAAGATAAATTGACAAAATATTATACTGTTAAACAAACACCCAATTTATTATTGTAGATTAACTCATTTTATTAAATGATTGTTATTAATAATTTATTATTTAATGCAGAAATATATGACTTTATCAATTGAATAACAATAAATATATTATCAATATAATTTTTATAAACAATTATCATATAGTTTAATAATTATATTAAATAAAGTACTTAACCTTTGTATTTTTTAAATCAAATACTTTTGATTCTAATTAGTTGCATATCCTGTTAGCAACAATTATATTACAGATGATATAAATAATTGATTTCTTAATATTTTTCATTTTGGTAAAAAATAGATTTATGCATTAATTTTGAATCGTATAAATACCAGTATAACTATCTGAATATTTGTGAAGAGTATAATTATTTTATAACTAAAATATTTACATCACCATGTATCAATATAATATTTATATAATTTTACTTTTCACATTCTTTATACGTATGTAAAAGATTATAATAAAAATAATATTTTATATACACATTTAATAATACTTTAATTATAAATTTATTAACTAAAACACTTACCTATGTAATTGTAATTAATACATATTTAAATGTATATACATATTTAAATTAGCCAAGCTCATTACATCGGACAATGTCTGCGACGATTGGTCAGACATATTTCACGACGACTATTACGACATATGCTATAAATACTATTCAGGTGTCGCTGATTATCATAAGATGGTAAAAGAGTGCAACGCTCTAAACGACTCATCCCTGCCCACCATTAACACAAAAGCTGAGCAAGATTTTTTAATCAACATGATGATCAAATACAAAATGGTAGAGAGTGTATGGCTGGACGCCAGCATCAAAGATAAACACATTGTTTGGTCCGACAGGAGTAGCGGTGAGTACGAGAACTGGATGTCCGGCCGACCGGTTAATAATGACAACTGTGTGGAAATGTTGGCCGACGAGGTTAATCGTGGTAAATGGGAAGATCAACCATGCACAAAGTTAAATGGCTACATATGCAAGCGTGTGGTGATGTGGTCGGATCAGGAGACGGCGCGTTTGATCAGGGACGAACGTAGAAGCTTGGATGCGGAGATTAGTAAAATCAATCAGTTGGAAAAGGATCTGGGTACAAATGTGTGGGTGTGGAAATGATACCCGATCAAGGTAATATTGGCAAATGGCAAGACATAGCGTGTGCCAAGAAAAATTCCTATCTATGTAAACGTGTGGTGATTGGGTCTGACCAGCGTACGGAGCGTTTGATCAGGGACAATCGGCGATTGTTGAACGAGGCTTTACAAGAAATATCACAGTTAAAGCAAAATCAGGTACCCATTGGTTTCACATACGTACAGCTGCCAAACCAGGATCACCCAACAAAACTATGGCCCACATACAAGTGGTCAGATGTGACGGCCACATACGCGGGTCAGTTTTTCCGGGCCGAAGGTAGCGGTAGCTGCGAGTTTGAGGGTGGCATTCAAACGGAAAACGCACCTAGATTGTCACAAATACAGCGTATGGACAATGAAGGTCATGATCCATGGACTATAAACGTATCACCTAATGCATGGAGTCCGTGGATTTTTACTGGCCAGGATGGTGGCGGCCATTTACACTATCTCCGATTTTATGAGACTGGTGGCGAAGTGCGGCCCCGGAATCAAGCCGTGCGCATATTTAAACGCATTAAGTAATTTTTGTGCAACATTTAATGTTTGATACTCTACTTTTATTTATACTTGTATTTGTTAAAACTATATTGGCTTAAATGAAAAATAAATAGAATCGCTATTATCTGTAGATGTAATTGTAAAATTGATCTTATTATGTAACTTTATATATAAAATTAATTGTTACCCTATTTATTATATACTAGCCACAGCTCGATGCACAACTGTTACCCAATAACGTCTCGTTTTCAACGCATTCTATAGTTTTCACTACCCTCCCACCCCCTTATTGTATGTAACGCCTGTTTTATTTTTCTTTTTTTTTTTACTTCCTTTCTAATACATGTATGTATTGATTACAAAACGTTTCTTCCATTTATCTAATCGGTCACGGAATTCATATATGTCAATTAATACCAAAATGTTAGATACAATCATTGACCATGAAATTGATATCATATTTGATGCGAGCGTAAAATATAAAAACTTTTTTGTACATTTTAGCCTATAATTGGAATCATTTACAATCAATAACTCAAGCGTTTATAAACTCAATTATACACTTAAATCATGTACTAGTTTACAAAAATTATCCTATTAATAATTTTAAAATCATAAAATCAGATAATAGAATATTGCTTGAATGAGTAATATTGATTTGACAATTTACTTGTATATAAAATATTGGCATTTACAATAAAATTGTTTTAGATTTATATTTTAAACGTTTGACTATACAGTATATAATATAATTATTATTAAATGTAACCTTATGAGAATATTTATCCAATTAATTATAATCAGGAATATATATACTGTATATAAGTTTTATACAGGTTTCAATCACAATGGTCGTATTCAAGTAAACAAAACACTTAATGGAAAATAACAATTGGTTAATAAGATGATATAATAAATAATCATTGTGGGAATTATTTTTATAGGGCATTGAACCATTTTTACATTGAAAAAATTAATTGTTAAATAAAATATTAAGTAGATTTATTATATTATTTCACGTAGACCAATTTCACGTTATCTATAACTTTTAAAATTGATGTGAAATTGATATATTGATACATTAAATACAATAATTGTTACCAATATTTTATGCTATGATTATTTGTTAATATCAGATTATTTATTAGTATAAATACGAGTAATAACTATGCAATTAATCACAATTACAACTGCTCTACAATAATAAATATTATTATTAATTTAGTACAATTAATTAAATATTGTAATGTACGTGGTATATATAATTTTATTGATTACTTGCCTTAACGGTATGTACACTATTAATATGCTATAGAATTAAAGTAAAGTATACAAGTTATTGTAAATAATAAACTTGCCTGTTGAATATAATTATAATCTATTACAATTAGCAAAACTGATCACTTCGGAGAGCGCGTGCGGAGAAGGTTGGGACGTATTTAAGGATGAATACTACGATATATGCTACAAATATTACCCAGGTGCTTTGGGAGACTACGCAACAGTGGCCACGGCTTGTCGGGGAGAATTTGAGTCATCCCTGCCTACAATTAATACACAAAATGAACAACTATTTCTCAACAAGCTCATTAACAAATACAAAATAGTAGACAGCGTATGGCTCGACGCCGGCGTCAAAGACAAACACATCGTATGGATGGACAGTACGAGTGCTGACTACGAGAATTGGATACCCGGGCAACAGATTAATAATAGTAATTGTGTGGAAATGGTAACCGACCAAGCTCACATTGGTCAGTGGCTAGATGAGCCATGTAACAAGAAAAATGCTTATTTATGCAAGCGTGTAGTGACGTGGTCGGCTCAGCGTACCGAGCGTTTGATCAGGGACAATCGCCGTGTATTAGATAACTACATGAAGCATACTACTATTTTATTAAACTCGGCTATTGCTATAATTGAACATTTGCAAGGCAATCAGCAAGATGATGAAGCTAAAATTGCCTTGTTGGAACAAACTAAGGTACCCATTGGGTTTATATATACACAGTTGCCCGACCAGGCTGATCCCAAAACACTGTGGCCCGCATACAAGTGGTCAGATGTGACGGCCACATACGCGGGTCAGTTTTTCCGGGCTGAAGGGTCAGGCAGTCTAGCGTTTGGTAAGGGTGTTCAGGCTGAGAATGCACCTAGATTGTCAAACGTACATTACGAGAGCACAGTTGACTACGCAAAGGACATTACGCTAATTCCCGGTGAATGGAGTAAATATATTTATTCCGGATCCGAGATTACCGGTGCGACCGACTATTTCCTTAAGTTTTGGATGACCGGGGGTGAAGTGCGGCCCCGTAATCAAGCCGTGCGCATATTTCAGCGTGTTAAATAAACGTATTATGTTTTAAATAATTAAAATTATGGAAAATTAAAACAATTAATTAAAATAAAATTTTTTTAACAATTTTATAAATATACTAATTATATAAGTTGATATATTTGTTTATAAAACTTACACCGAGTGTAAGATTTTACTAACATAATTTATACTCAAATTATATAAACCAAGTGACAAAAAGTTACAATATTAAAAAATTACCAAAATGTTACATTAAAAATTATTTCAATAGCTAAACTAGTTGTTTAAAACATTTTGCGACATGATGATAATGATTATTTTACAATAAAAGCAACAGTTATTTACCATTATTGGTTTGGCTGTATTAGGGTTAATTTGTTATCATTATAACTTTAAATAGCTTAATGACAAAAAAGAGTTGTAAGTGTAAATTTAATGTAAATAATTCATGAAAAAAAATTTCAATCACTAATTATTATTAATTATTAATAGATTGAAGTGCGCCCTCGGAATCAAGCGGTACGTTTGTTTAAAAGTACCAAGTAACAAAATTTATTAACTATTTTTGATAAGTTGGTTAAAGTTAAGTTTATTAAAAATTTTATTATTAACTAAATAAACTAATGTTTGTGATTTATTAAATTACTGAAATTAAAAGATTTTAATTAAATGAATAATCATCACTATGAAAAGGTTTAACTTTAGGTAATATCTTTCTACAATTTATAAAATTATATAAAGTTAAACTTTATTATAACTATTTGATTTTATCCATTAATAAACTTAAAATTATTAAATTATTAATGTATTTAATTATTGAAGTATGAAAACACAGAAATGTACAATAATAATTTACTTGAAAATAAAATTACTTTATAAAACATGTCATATTGATTAAATCAATCATATTTAAAATATAACCTAATCCATGTGGGAAATAATTTCCTGAGAATATGTCATTTTACTTTAATCTATTGTCATTCAAAATTACATTGCTTATAGAATATTTAGTATAAATAAAAGTTAGAATTATCTAAACAAAATTTTAGTTGAATTATACTACTGTCAAAAATATTTCGAATTTGTCATGATAAATTAACATGTCTTAAAATTTACATTCTTATATTAATTTGATATGATAATAAATTTGTATAAATATGTGTAATAAAAATCAATAATTAAAAATATTCCTATTATATCAATATTGCTATAAAAATGTTCAAAATATATTTCATTGTATTTGTCATATTCTTTACATGTATGAATAATTAATTTTATCAATAATATTTAAATTGAAACAAGTTAATAACATTAATATAATTAATTTCAATCTATAAAATATATCTTTAATTATAGGAAAATTACTGAATAATTATTAAATAAAATTATATTTTAACCTAATATTTAATTAAAATTAATTTTGCATTTTAGTCAAGCTTAGCAACTCTGAAGGAGTTTGCGGTGATGGTTGGGACTTATTTCACGACGATTATTATGACATATGCTATCAATATCACCCAGTTGTGTCTGAATATCAAAATGTGGTAACATTCTGCAAAACAATTCAGAATTCATCCCTGCCAACAATTAATTCAAAAGCTGAGCAAGATTTTTTAATAAACATGATGATCAAAAACAAAATGGTAAAGAGTGTATGGCTGGACGCCAGCATAAAAAACAAGCACATTGTTTGGGCCGATAGGAGCAGTGGTGAGTACGAAACCTGGGTGTCAGGCCGACCGGTCAATGAAAGCACTGTGTAGAAATGTCGGCCGATCAAGTTAATTTAGGTAAATGGGTAGATGAACCATGTATCAAGAGAAATACAATTATATGCAAGCGTGTTGTATTATGGTCGGACCAAGAAACCGAGCGATTGATCAGAGATAGTCGCCGGTTAATTGATGGAGCAGTTACTAGAATAATCCAATTGGAACATAAAACGATCAGGTTGGAACAGAGTCAAGTTCCAATTGGTTTTATATACATACAGTTGCCAGGTCAGGCTGAGCCCAAAACACTGTGGCCCGCATACACGTGGTCAGATGTGACGGCCACATACGCGGGTCAGTTTTTCCGGGCCGAAGGCAACGGTAGCCTAGCGTTTGGAAAAGGCGTGCAGGAAGAAAATTCGCCTAGATTGTCATCTATTGAATTGAATACTAAACTTGCTGCAGGAGTTGCTAAACTGAATTTAAAACCTGGAGAGTGGAGTCAGTACATTAATACAGCAGGAGATGAGGGTCCTTGGGACAGTCTCCGATTTTACTTGAATGGTGGTGAAATACGTCCTCGCAATCAAGCTGTACGCATATTTAAACGCACTGCATAAATGTATAATGTTATAAAAATGATTACTATTAATTTTTTATTTGTTATTTAATGTAATGTTTATTATAAAACATTTCAATTAAATATAATTAATATACAATTAATTTTTCCATTTATTATTTAATTAATACAATAATCGAAAATTTACATTTTACTAAAAAATAAACGTTAAAATTAAATCACTCCAGTGGTTGCATTTAACTTAAATTTAGTCATGGTGACTTTTATGGCGTGATTTTTAAATAATGTTGTAAATTAAACAGGGCAATTGTATTTTAATTTACAGGTTAATTTCATAACAACAATTTAGCTATGAATAATGTGCTTCATAAGATATTCTGCTACCCCTCCCGTTATTTCTTATCAAATATTTTCCATATTAATTATATACATAAACAAAATGCACTTGATAATTTGTATAAAATATTTAAAAATTATATACAGTAGGATAAAAAACATTTAGATTAAAATATTGATATTTTTAAGTATGCATAATATTGATTATATTGGCTATGTAAAATTTATTATAATCAGTGTGGGAAATATTTATTTTATAAATAAATCCTTACTTAAGATAATGTTATTCAATATTATTTTTGTTGCTGACAATTGCACATAATTCTAATATTATCTAATAAACTAATATAATTTTTTGGATTAAAGTGTCTGATAAAAATATTTCATACATGGTCTATTATATATGCCGCAATATAAAACACAATGGCTTAAAATTTAAATTTGTATTTATCACGATCAACGCAACTTTCAGTATAACTATTTGTAGTGTTATTATCATGTTATGCCAGAAATACACTTTACTGCCACTCTATTGTAATGGACTAATGTAATGTCTATGGGGT